AAAAATTTCGGTTTTCAGATTTCAACGGAGAAATGCATTTTGATCGTTCCCGAATCAACTTTTATTTTTTCCCGAATACCTTTTATATTTTTTGTGTGCGTCTTCTGTACGTAAGGACAGAATAAAGGATTCTTTATTCCAAAACGAATTGTAAAATGGGTTCTAAAAGGATTTTTTGTGACTTTTGTACGTATGTTATGTATCTTGCATAACTCAAAGACGAATAGTTGTAGAAAGTTGAAATTTTGTAAATGGGGCTGCTATAACATCTAGTTATGAACCTTTACTTGTTTTTGCAATCGGAAGCACTGAAAGAGCACTTTGCTCGAAAGGGTTTATTGAAATTGTCATATAATTCAAAAACAGTTAACCATAGAATGACGAAATTGTGTATATGGGACTGGTAGTTGGGCATCTTCCTGATTCATACTCTTTTATACGAAATAAAGGAAGTATCGCAAAAAATTTCGATTTTCAGATTTCAATTGAAACACTAATTTTTAACCATTCTCGAATTCATTTTGATTAGTTCCATTCTGACGTCTATGTATACGTGTTCACATGACTCGGAAACGATTCCTCTTAATATGTTGAAATTTTACTCTCGGAGCTGGTTGTAAGCATCCTATACTGTGTTACGACTTATCTCACTTGTTTGACAGTGACATCAGAACAAGCCCACGAAATTCATCCTGGCAAGGCACTGCAGAAGGCTTCCCTAACCACTATACCGTCTGGGCGGCATACATGCTATTTTTGTTGCAATCGGTAGCACTAAAAGAGTACATTACTTGAAGGGTTTTTAAACCCAGTCAGAAGATGCTAAAAGTATATATACGAAATCTGCTAACCTTCCAATACTTTGCTTTTATTTTCTTGATGGTTACAACAGTATAGTGACACGTCACTTTAAATATTTTACTGCGGCTAGTTCACTAAATAACTCACATGATACCGGGACTGTATTTATTTTAGCTTTATTTAAGTACACTAATTCTAAATACTAAATAAGAGATGCGCAGCTAAGTAATATAAAATAAGCGAGCCATTCTTACATGGCTGTCACAAACAGAATATTATAGCGATCACTATTCTTGTTGCCACATACAAAAAGTAGAAACAGAAAAACTTACACACGGTCTACAACGATGCATCATAGATCCATCACCTAAATTTCCAATGTCATCGGACTGATAATTTAGCCATCAGCCAAGTAAAAAAAAAAGAAGTGATCTTATATTTGATACGTAATACTCACATGAACATCCTGGTTTCCGTTGAAGTCCCAGGGGATTACAGCAATTGGTAATTTTTTAAACTCCTTACTTTGTAATGAAAATACTATTGATAGAAAATAAAACTGCATAAGATGCAACGCAGGTTATAGTATTTAGTACGTATGAGAAGAGGAGTGTTTTATGACACTATGACCAATTTTAATATTAACAAGTCTGAATGTACGATTTGTGCTTTGATGAACAGCAATTATTCTCCCTAACTTCCGTTCAACAGGTAGAAGATACTCTTCTTTGATGAGAATCAAATCACTAACTTCTAAATCTTTTTATCTTTTTTTTTTTTTTTTTTTTTTTTTTTTTTTTTGTCCTTCGGTCTTTTCTGAAGTTGAAAAAGGTATTTTAAGACTCCATCTTTTACAATATTGTTGAAAAATGAACTGTCTCACATGCCATGCGTCAAAATGATTCAAGGAATTGGGACTTAGATAGTACTAGATTTCACTAGCACACTAGTGAAACGAATCCCCTTATGCTTCATAAAATATTTAAAAAACAGTGCATAAAATTGCCCAACTAATACTTATTTTCAATCTTGTGTTAAAAGAAGCAGAAATATTTCTTTCGTATTCTGTGAAAATTTGAATACTTTGTGACCAATACACTTCTAATCATGAATTTATATATTATATTGGCGCGTTTTGAAATTTGGCATATTTGTTAAAAGCGATAAAACGTCAAATGTGGTTAAGAGACAATGCTAAAATAATTTGAAAGTACGAATCATGTGACTTTTTTTCCGCTCATGCACAATATAAAAAGGTAGGAATGAGGTACCTTTTTTTCCGCTCTGACAAAATGAAAGGGTAAGTAAAATTGGTTGCCACATATTAAGTAGTCTGCCAAGTGAATTATTCTTGGCGAAAACTGAAAAAATTGTGCCAATTTTTGAATTTCTCCGTAAATTTCATTCCAAATTTTACAAAATGGAATAAGTAGGCATAATTTGAATCGTAGAATCGAAATATGGGGAAAAAATGGTATGTTATTTCAGAAAAAGTGCGATTTTTTGTCAAAATACCTATGTTAGAACCGAGACAATGAAAACGCAATTTGAACTTTGTCAATCGGCCCAGTAGAACGGAAGATATCGAACTGTCTCTCTTTTTTTTTTTTTTTTTTTTTTTTTCATTGCTCTTTCGAGGAAGTCCGGGGCTCAATTCAATTCACTGAAAGACTAGAGAAACCGACCGAAGTCGCGAGTTCCTAGTAGCTCTTCCTCTAGGAGCCAAGCGAACGCATGCGAGGCGGTACTCCTTCAACCTAGTATCGGATCGGAAAGTCAGACACCTGCTGTCGTCACAATGTGACCGAGACTTAAGTACTAGGCACGTCGATGTAGGTACGATACCACTTGGGATTTCAAACGTTTTATCAAATCAGAATATTTCTGCGCCTATCACCGGCTTAGTGGCAAGAAGCACAGGGAAGGAAGGCGAACCTTCCTCCCCAGATTTTACCAATGTTCTTTTATGGAATGAATCTGACCATCGGTAATGATATACAGTTTGATAAATTCAGGCTCTGATGCCATTTTATTCAAATAGCGCAGAGGAATTTTTTGAATAAATTTGAGCAGATTTATGATAGACAAAATGATGAAAGATCTATAGATCTAGATGATAATTTCGTTTACGCCCGTTCTTAGGCTCATTGACTCAATGCAATTTCTCTATATTATTTCGATTTAGCTACATTCCCGTTAAGCTGGTTTTTAATGCATATAATTTTCTTAATGTGTTGAAAAGTTTCGAGCACTATGTCAGATAGATATCTGTCTTGTGAAGACGATTTAAAATTTGAGTAATCAAATGCAATTATTAATAAACTTTCAGTAATGTTACTCTGCTTCGAATTAAAGTAAAATTTTCGAGCATAATTGAAAACTTCGTTTTGTGTAAAATATTCGAAATTGTATTAAGTTGAAATGCTTTTCCTCTTAGATGGTTACAAATACTGGAACACGAGCAGCAAATCCAAATCACTCAGCGTCGAAATTGCAGGATATTATGTTCTCACTCAACTGGAAATGTATAATCATTATGGTGTTCAGAAATCTTGGCCGGTTGTAAATTGGATTGTTAGACAGAGAAACTCCAACGGAGGATTCGTCTCAACTCAAGTGAGTAGCTTGGTCTTAATCAAAAATAAAATAGTTTTAGATTGGAATGCCATGCAATTTCTTTGTAATCTATATAGTTTTTGTTTTATTTTGATTCCTTTAATTACACAAAAATTTCCTTAAATACGTTTTTCAGGGAATAATACAGCGAAGAATTCACAATGAAATTATCGCTTCTGAATCCATTGCTTATTTTGAACAAATTAGGTAATTTATGCTTGGATAAATGTGTTCTGTTAGGAACATATAATTTACATATAAGATATAGTTTCATATTTACAGCGAATGTTTGTTTACGAGGACAGCACAGATTGATATATTCGATTATAAATAGTTATTTTCTAAAGAGCATATCATGATTTTTCTGTTCAATTTTCCTCCCCGCTAATGGAATATAAGCAGTGATAAAGGGATTTAAGAGTTCTATTTGATTTTTAGCTCCTGGTAATCTTTTGTGATTAAGGATAAACGTATATCCTCTTATACGTGAATGCATTTCCTCTGTCAGCCACTGTATTACTAAGGTTACCAAACAATGATTTTTGAATTTCAAGTTTAACTACTACTTTTGTACTAGAAATGGTTGTATTTGGGTATAACATAAAACATTGTGTAAATGTGTCAATAACCGTGAAAATGTTTTTACAGTTTGTATTAAATTATCTACTTGATAAGTTTTGAGAGGAATACCTTCTTTAGGTAAACCGTACAACCATCATTCCTTTTTTCAAGAAATGCAATTGGCCAATATACAAGCAATACAATTTACGACACATTTTTCAATTTTATTTTTCAATTGAGGAACAGAAAGGCGTTGCTTAGAAGCTCTTCAGTGCGTTTAGTAATAAAAAAACCTCGTTCATGGACGTCGTTAATTATTTTAATTTGCATAATCTTAGGTACTACTAGTATTTCAATTTTATCCACCATTTTGTAAATTACGTCATTTCGCGAGCAATAATTCTCATATAGGTTTAGACTTCAAAACGTTATGGCTTTTATATTATCATTAGTCTCTTGAGCTTGAATAATCTTAAATGCTACGCTCTCTTGAATTGCTATACATACATGGCTTCAACTCAAAGCGTCAATACGTTCCATGAGTATACCAGATCTGTGTTAAATCGCGTAGCCATAATCTTGTAACGCTTATCTAGATATTTGAGTACAATTGCCTTCCTTGCTCATAGTTTGTTTGAATACATTTCAGTTTCTCCCGATATTAAAAGGAATCCTTAATACGTATACCCTAAGTTTTTAAGAGCTTCTACAACTATTTTAGTTTTTAATTCAAACCTCAAATATTCATATTCAATATTGTCTTCCTGCTCATATAATATATTGAACCTAATTTTTATTGATAATTTTCTGTAAGATGGCAGCCCCGTAACCGTCAGTATGTATTTATGTTTCTGTTTTCTGGTTATAAACGTACAAAACAGATTCAGAGGATAACATGTATTTCAATTCGTAAAAAGCATTTTGTTCTTTATATTCGATTTGTGATGTAGCCGTTCCTCAATAGACACTAATGCCGGCTAGCTTTAAAAGGATTTATTAACAGAGCACACAGGAACGGTTACAAACAAAAGAAATATATATAAAAATGAAACATATACCAAAATGGAACATCAAACATTAGAGTTAATAACATCTAATACATAGGTAAGCTATCATCATGGCGGCTGGAGGTCGACTGACGTTTTTCATATCGCCACGAGATGGCGTTTAAATAAAATAGTTCGGTTACAGTTCATGAGTTCATGGCGTGAATAAAATAGTTCAATTACACTTAAATAGGTCTGTTACATCCTCCCCCTCTGACTTCGTAGACGTCTCGGCAAGAAGTCAGGAACTGACATTTGTCTACTTTGTGCAGCGGGCGGAGAATCAAGATGAACGGGCTCCAGTTTGACGAGCAGTAGTAATTTAGCGTCACCAGCACCTTGTGCAACAGGTGCAGATTCGGTTAGTATTACACGTTTCGGGCGTCCTCTTTTCTTTAAGGGAAACCACTGGAGTTACACGAGCTGAGTTTTGAAACTTATTTCGATCTTGATATGGATTTCAAGGCTGAAACATGATACTTTGTCCGAGAATTTTGGTCTGGTTCATGAGGATCGGCAATATCATAAGTGGTTGGAGATCTTGTAGTCACTATCACATAAGGACCATCTCTCTTCGGCATGAATTTAGCAGTTTTCTTCAGTGGACCTTTGCTGATTGGGTGGAGGGTGACCCAAACTTTATCTCCAGGAACGAATTTCGGAGTGTTTCTCTTCGTTTTTTTTGTCAGCATATCGTTTCTGTTTATCTTGATGCAATTCGACTCTTTCTCGTAGCCTGTTGTACATTTCTTGCAAAACGTTTCAAATATGGAGTAATTTCGGGAACAAAATTATCGTTCTCAATTACGGCTTTTATATCCTATGCTTTACATCCTCTAAGGTTCGTAACTCTCGTGCAAATTGAAGAAAAGAAGCAGCAGAATGTCCAGTTGAATCACATTTGGCTGTATTCAAAGCAAACCTTATTAATAGCAGTTTATCCTTCCATGACTGATGGTCGTTACCAACAAGTATTGCTAAACGCGGTTTCAGATCTCTATTCCTTCTTTCAACTGGGTTAGATTGTGGGTGATAGACAGGAGTAAGAACTTTGATCAATGTTCAAGATATAGCATAGTTGTTGCATAATAGCACTAGTAAACTGGGCACCATTATCACTTATTATTTTCCTGGGTAACCCAAATCGAAGGGCGACTTCCTTTCCAAAAGAATAGTGGCACATTCTCTGGCCGTGGCTTCCTTTAAGGCAAATAGTTCTGTCCACTTCGTAGCACAGTCCTGCACAATAAAAATCCATTTTTCACCAGACGGTGTTTCAGGAAGGGGACCGAAAAGATCAATTGACAAGGTCTCAAAACGTTGAGCATAGACTGGAGTTTGAAGTAAGCCAGATGGCTTTTGATTAGTGGCTTTATAACGACAGCATTCGAGACAGCTTTTGACATATTCTGCTATATCCTTTCTCATTCCAACCCAGTAGTATCTTTTTGCTATTCGATAAAATGTTCCTTCAGATCCATAGTGACCGGCCGTTGGCGAATCATGATATTCTTTCAAGATTTCTGCTTTTCTTTTTTGAGGTATAAACTAGTTGAGCTTCTTCCTCTTCTGAATCAGGGGAATATCGGTACAAAACTCCTCTGTTCATAACGTAGCCTCTTCCAGTCCAAGTTGCACAGTCTGCTTCTTTCTCTGGACTCTCAAAAGTTTCGAATGATCTTCCGAAGATCATCATCTTCTAGCTGTGATTGTCTTAATTCTGCAGGGCTAATAGTAGGGATTTCGACAGAGACAGCACATACTTGACAAGAATCTGTACTTGAGTGTTCACAAATAGGACGAGACAATAGATCAGCAATAAAGTTCAATCGTCCAGGAATGTAATTGATAGTCAGATTGTAGGATTGGATTTGTAAGGCCCATCTTGCGAGCCTACCAGTTGGTGACTTTAAAGACATCAGCCATTTTCAATGGTTGGTGGTCAGAGGTGATTGTGATAGACTGGCTTTCAACATATCCTCTAAATTTGTTGAGTGCCCATACTACTGCTAAGGCTTCTTTTTTCTATGGTGGAATAGTTTCGTTCTGATGCAGTCAGCAAGCGGCTGGCATATTCTATAGGGTGTTCTTCATTTTTCTCCCCTTGTAGCAACACTGCTCCAATGGCTACATTGCTAGCATCTGTGCGAATGATAAAAGGCTTCGTTCCATCAGCTTGCTTAAGAATCGGCGGGCTAATTAATTTGGATTTCAGCTCTTGGAAAGCATTTTCTTGTTGTGCTTTCCACTTCCACAGCGCTTTCTTCTTTGTTAAATCCGTTAACGGTTTGGCTATTTGAGAAAAATTTGGAATATATCGACGATACCAGGAACACGTTTGTACGAACGATTGCACTTGCTTAACAGTTTTCGGCGATGGCATGTCTGCAATGGCAGCAGTCTTGTGTGGATCAACAGCTATACCATGCTTAGTAATGTAATGCCCTAAATATTTCACTTTTTCACAACAGAAGTGGCACTTCTCACGATTAGCATTGAGCTTGAATAACGATAGACGTTGGAAAACTTGTTCTAAGTCAGAAAGGTGCTTTTCGAAGCTAGATGACAGCACGATGATATCATCTAAATATGACAAAGCAAAACACATTATTAAGTCCAGAACGGAACCTATCTATCAATCTAGAAAAAAGTGGCAGGAGCGTTTCTCAATCCGAAGGGCATTCGGGTAAATTTATATGTACCAAAAGGGCAAAACAAAAGCAGTCTTATTTTGATCTTCTTCAGCTACTCTCACCTGATGATAACCTGATCTCAAGTCAATAGTTGACATATAAGGTGTCGGTTTTGCTTCACTCAACAAATCATCTATACGTGGCAAAGGATAAGTGTCTGGAACGGTCTGAGCATTTAGGTTACGATAATCAATGCATAACCGTACTTTTCCATCTGCCTTGGGAATCAGAACCACAGGAGAGGCATAGGGGCTTTCACATTCTTTTATGATACCTTGTTTTAGAAGGGAATCAAGTTCCTTTTTCAACAGTTCTTTCTTACTTGGGCTCATCCGATATGGAGGGACTGAAACAGGGGGGCTGTTTCTTGTGTTAATATGGTGTTCAATGAATGGAGTGGCTTCTCCCCCTACTTTGAAGACAGTGTGATATTTGTTAAGCAATGCATCAGTTGCAAGCCGTTGGGCTGTAGTTAATTGTTGTCCTTCATTTTCTCGTAGTTGGCAGTTGTTTACAACAACTGGGGTTTCTTCCAGTACTTGGGATTGATGAGGTTTCACGAAGCTATATTTTCTTCGAGGTTCATCAGAAAAGTTCCACTTATTTTCAGCAAGATTTAAAACAATTTTAGCTTTTTGAAGAAAGTCAGTTCCTAACAGAGTCGAGTTATTTTTGGCATCAGGCAACACAAGGAGCGGAG